ACCCTGCAGCCTTCTCTACACACCAAAGAGAGGAGCTCCAGAGAATCGTGTCTAATGGTTCCTCAGTGAGATAAATTAAGTTCTTTTAGCAGAGAACAATGTGTTTAAAGTGTAACAGTTCTGGATTAACGCCCTCACACATGCAGGTTCAAGTTGCCAAAGGTGCTACAGAGAGTTACTGCAGGTCATCAAAGCACCGGGATCAGCGGGTCACAATGGGCTCAATAAAATGCACGTTTCCATGGGGCATAAAAGTGTCATCTGTGACCAGCACATTAACCTCAAACTGAAACCCAGATGGCATTATTACGACAGACTGAGAGTGAGAGAAAGAGCTGCTGTCATCATATCTGCCACCACAGTCACCTGGCTCTAATAAAGGAAACATATTCACACCATAAAGGATCATTGAAGCTGAGGCTGTAATAGAGCTCACCGCAGAGGAACTGATATATAACGGGGATAAACAGGTATTTGGGAACCAAATGGAGTTGTAAGCGGAACAAAATGACAGCAGTCTCTAACAGTATCATGTAAACAAGAATCAGGTATCACCTCAGTCCTGAACTGAGTCTATGTTGATTTACCTGCTCAGGTATCTCAGACACTCCCTCAATGTTTACAGCAAGCTGGTTTCAGATACGCAAACCAAAACTCTTCCTTTTGTGTTCACAAATCTCTGTTCTTGTACATGCCGGACTAATTACTACTTGTTTGGTAAATTTGCCAGATAATAGCTGTTGATAAAAACTCTGTCAACTCCTGCCAGGACCTGTGGCTTCTCGCTCATCCTGTGACTGTCTCCACAAATCTGTCAGTAACATTTAATTTAAAGGAAAGAAACCCTGAACTATAATCATCCTTCAGACAGTGCATGACATTAGGTGACGTGAAATAATCCATGTTTGTTTACGCCTTACTTAGTTGGTTTTGTGACACTATTTACACAGTGAAACCTTATATAAAGCCTATTGTGTGGAATAAAATAAACAAAGTGGATTATCTGCCATAATTTATTGATTTGTGAAACATTGTGAAAATTACAGCAGCTGTAGTTGAAGCAGCATTTGGGTTTCAATAACTTTCTATACCTTTGTGTAATATTTCTACTGTTCACCTTTACATATTTCGTCTTTCAAATATTTGGGATATGATTTAAAGCAATACAATATATATGGTTACATTATGTACGTAACTCTATAGTCTCTCTCAGCTCCAAGGAGCATATCAGCATCTTTTATCTATCTGTTTTGGTTTTAGGACCCAAAGTTTTACCCTTTATACAGAAAGTGAGCTTTTGCTCATATTTGTTGACCTGTTGTATGTCTTTTAAGCAATGTTGCCATGTTCTCAGTTCTTAGCAATTAAACTGGTGAATTCAATGTTATTAACAAAAAAAAACAGGAATGATGGCAAACCCTTAAAAAAGGCTGTAATAAATTACAATTATCCTTTAACACACAACCAAAATGCAAGCTTTCCAAACTGAAAGAAAGGTTCTAGTACAGTAAAGAAGCATAATGAACCTGCTGTAGGATTTTCCACATAAGCTTTAACCTCCACAATGTACAACTGCCTCTACAAGATTAAGTGTGCAGGGTCACTGGAAAGTTTAGCTAATGTGCAGTTAGCACTAATTAGCCACATAGAAACCCACAATGAAACAGACTTATATGCATCTTGTGATCCAATCAGGTAAATTGGACGGGACACCATCATCTGCTGCACTTGGGCCCATTTTCCCCGTGAGTGCTGAGATGAAGACAGTCTCCTGATGCGACACATCTGCGTCCTCACTGTCTCGCACTTTGTTTCTCGCTAAGGCAGTTTCCCAGTGTCCCTGACCCTAATAACCCAAATTCCTGCCTGATTAAGTTGGTTTTAAAAGGAAGCCACACAGAGAGCGGTTGGGTGAGCCTCACCTTAAATGGGAACACATTGTAGCCGTGTTGGAGCGATGATCAGAGGGTAGGATTTCACTTTCCGGTGTTTGTGAGGACAGCGGCGCTTAAAAGGCCGCAGAGAGGACAGAGGGAAAGAATGGAGAAGAAAAATGGAGAGGGATGAAGAGGAATAGGT